ATTTGCATATATATTCTGGTATTTTATTTAAAGCCTACTACTACAGAAATTTAAGATAATATGCCTAGAAAAATAAAAACCCATTTTTATCTTTTCATAACGAAGAAACGACTATTATTTAAAAACAAAACTATACGGAAAAAAAAGAAATTATCTCTCTTTTTTTTTGTTTCTTACCCAAAAAAATGGACCGATTTTATTTTTAGCCAATATTCATTCTTTTTCTCACCTCATTTTCAAAGTAATAAAGTTAACTATGTGTGAAAATTATATTTGAAATATTTTCAGCGGTTGAAATTGAACTAATTCCAACGTTTTGTCCAGCTAACTTGTCTGGACTTCTTCAGCGTAGACAAGTTAGCTGGACGAAACATTGGAATTAGTTAAATTTCAATCGCTGAAAATATTTCAAATATAATTTTCACATATAATGACTTCTCTATACTCGGCGCTCAATTACTGTCAAACTATTCGTTCTAATCTTGACGAATATTCGTATAAATAAAGTTAATATTTGTTTTTTCTTTTCTTTTTTCTTTTTTTCCTTTTTCTTTTCTCTTTTTTATTTTTTATTTTCTTTTTTTTGAAAGATAAAGCATAAAAGTCAGCATTGTTATAAAATGAGATAACTTTCCTTGTTAATAAAAAAAGGACTATTTTAGACAAGTTATTAATGAATCGTTTCCAAAATGAATTTGTTTCCTTTTCTGATTAAATATACATGTAATTGTATAATGTAGACAATAATATCCATGTCACAGATTGAAATAATGAGTCAGTTGAAGCTAGACCACCATGGAAAACCTGGAAGGACTGGACGGCCGTTTCGTCCTAGTATGGGACGATATTTTCAGGGTATTCTTTTATTGTTTTGTTCTTTCACATAAGTTTTTCCAATATGCTAACCACAAAGAAAAATTCATACAGTAATTAGTATAAGAAATTGTTTAAAACTTCATTAGATAGTTCTTGTTTTCTTTATCTAATACATACATATCTATCAGAAATGGACGAAACGGCCGTCCAGTGCTTCCAGGTTTTCAATGGTCTAGCTTCAACTGACTCATGATTTCAACTTGTGAAATATATATATATATTGACAGTTTTTAATATTAAAATTAACAGGTCATATTTTCACTGAAATGATACCAAATTAACATTAGTATATTACAGAAGACAGGTTTGTTACATATATATTTTTACAGATTAAAATCATGAGTCAGTTGAAGCTAGACCACCATTGAAAACCTGGAAGCACTGGTGGTTTAGCTTCAACTGACTCATGATTTCAATCTGTGAAAATTTCTAAAAATCTCCACAAACCCCTTCTGATATATATTTTTGTACGAGGTTTCTTATAGAATTCGATAAATGTGAAAAGAGGATTTAGATTGATATAATGAATGGATCAATGTTCGACCACTATTAAAAACTTACAAATATTAGACGGTCATTTCGTTTTGGTATGGGACTCGAATCCAGGATCTTTGATTTCACGTGCAAACGCTTTAGCTCTAAACCACTGAGCTGGCATTCAACGGTGTTAATGTTTAACTTCAACCAATCCACGATATTGTGTGACCGTCCACTATTGTCTTCAGTAAATAACTGTCTCTTGAATACCACTGGTTACGAATTTTCATTAGAACTCCAGGAAATCCATCTTGAAGCTAGTCACTAGTGAGCACATACTAATTACCAGTATAGGATTGTGGAAATTGTTGAGTTAAGAATAATATCATGAATGGATCAATGTTACACCACCAATGAAAACCTAGGAGCACTGGACAGGCAATTTTCCTTTTACTACATGCAAAACTACAATTCATTTCATATTCTGTACTCTGTGTTTGACTGCTATTTATTTATAACTATTCATTGATCAACTCACATTTAACTATGTTTATAGTATTTGAAAAAATCTCTTAGATTCGGTCATCTTAAATATGTAAACAAACATCTTATATACAATATATATCAGATTATAATGAGACTTGTATCATATATACATGCTATCATTCTTTGTATTAGATTTATAAGTCAACTCATCTTAGAAAATCTTTATTGTGTTTAAGTATAAAGTGAACATTTATTCTTTGATATCAACACATCAACATTACCATGTTGAACTTATTAACTCTTACACAGATAAAAAGATACCATGATCATTCCTTTCTTGTTTTTTGTTTAATGAATGTCATGAATAAATTTTGAAAATAAATAACACAATTAAATATAAAACATTGAACATATGTCATAAAACATTTGTATAAATATCCATCCGACAGCCATATTTAATATCAAATCTATGTTTATACAGTTTTCAATATATATATATATATATATATAACAGTTAAATCCTTGGGTCATTTAAAGCTAGACAATCATGGAAAACTTTGAAGCACTGGACGACCGTTTCATCCTAGTATTGGTTTCCTCAACAGAGTGCATTCACACTCCCGCCTCGCAAGATTCGACCTCAGAACCTATTGGTTCACAAGTGTGAACACTTAACCTCTAGACCACTAATCTGTCCAGCATCCAACAATGTTAATGTCTAACTATCTCACAACAGACCTGCTGAGGAGTCTCACACTGTGACAAAACGGTCATCCAGTGCTTCCAAATTTTTCATGTTGGTCTAGCTTTAATTGACTTATGAATTCAACTATTAAATTAATAAAATCTCCACAACCCCCCCCCTTTCATTATATATATAAACTAATAATTTCATAACATTTGCAATTCTTCTTAGTATCCCACGTTTACACTTATTCTATTTAGATATTTCAACAATTAAATTATTTTATATTACATATGAAGATAATTAATTATGATTGTACAAACAGTTTTCTCTTTGTTTTGTTTATAATTTATGATTGAATCTTTTAAATAAATTTACCGAATCGAATTAATTTAGTTCACAGTTAATTTAAGTAATATAAATAAGTATCAATAAAGAAAAATTTTTCTGTATTTTATTTAGTTATAAATAGTCTATTTATTGTCCACATAATGGACGAAAATGAAATTACTACCACTATTATTATCACTATTATTATTATTACTATTATTATGGTTACTATTATTACTACCGTTATCATTATTTTAAAAGTCAAGATTATTGTAGAAAAGGAAATTAATATTATGATGTGACAATAAAGAATAAATATAACCGAAAATCGATAATCTCGTACAATTGTTCATTGTAAAGTGAACCATTAAAAACCTGGGTATAATCATCTTTTTCACAGATTGAAATCATGAGTTAGTTGAAACTAGACCACCATTGAAAACCTGGGAGCACTGGACGGCCGTTTCGTCCTAGTATAGGACTCCTCAGCAGTACGCATCCACGATCCTGCACCACTCGGGGCTCGAACCCAGGACCTACTGGCTTCGCGCGCGAGCACTTAACCATTAGACCACTGAACCGGCATCCAAGGGTGTTAATGTCTAACTTCAACCAATCCACGGGTTGAGCACTGCTGAGGAGTCCCATACTAGGACGAAACGGCCGTCCAGTGCTTCCAGGTTTTCAATGGTGCTCTAGCTTCAACTGACTCATGATTTCAATCTGTGAAAATTTCTAAAAATCTCCACAAACCCCTTCTGATAATCATCTTTTTGTATATTTTATATATAATAGTGAGATAAGTAAAAAAGAATGAAATCCTAAATAAAGAAAAAGTTTGAATCAGTTTTAGATTTTATTTTAAAACAAAAAAAGATAAGTATAAAATATGTTTCATGTATGATGTTATGACTATAAATTTAAGATCAGAATGTAGCTATAGACTTATTCAGTGGTTAGTATGTTTTTTTAATCAAAATGAGAATTTGTGGAGATCGTAGTTTGTTCAGTGTAGAATTCACAAATTAATCTAAGTTAGAATACTATTTTAAATCTGGAGGAACTGGATGGAGGTTTCATTTTAGCGTAGGACTATTCAGCAGTTCTCACTCACTGTCTTGCCTGTCGGACTCGAACCCATAACCCTTGATCTTATGCGTAAGCGCTTAACCTGTAGACCACTGAGTATGCATTCAAGAGCCAAAATGGCTGTCTCGTGCTTTCAAATTTTCAATAGTGGTTTAGCTTAGACCAATTCATGAATTTGACTTTGAACATACCACAATATACACAAACCCCCATTCTCATATTAATCACGGGCCAACTAATAACTAACTTCAAGATATAACTCCTCGACTTATAATAAGAAGAATTGACCAGTGTAGTCCAATCCGTGTCGAATGTGAAACAGTTATCCACCTCACACAATAGATAAAGGATTGTGCAATATTATAGATTGATTGAAGTTAGACAATAACACCATCGGATACCTACTCAGTGGTCTATAGTTCAGGGGTCCGCGTGCAAGATCGAAGATCCTGTGTTGGATTTCCACATGCAGGACTGTGGGTTCGCATTGCTGGAGTGTCTCACAACAGGACGGATCACCCATCCAGTGCTTCCGAGTTTGCAATGGTTGTTAAACTCTGATCAACTCGTGAACTTTGTATTTTTAGAATGTTTAAAAAAAATTCAGTTTCTGGATAATTTATGCAAAGATAGGGAATTCACCATATGCATGGTAATAAACCTTGAATCAAAATTTTACTCGATATTTGATCTGTGTTGATTTAAAATGATGATGTACAGTGTAGGAAATAATAGGCTATAGAAAATATTTTACTTATAAAATTCTACCGATGATTTGAAATTAAAAATTTCAAAGTCAGTATTCCATGAACCTGACTTATGTTAATACTTCGAGAGAAATCTATAAGCATATACCGTAAATCGAAAGACGAGAGCAGAAGTATCTTTCTCCAGATAACAAAATGATTACAAAGACTAATGAACATTATCGAAAACTGAACTAAATAAGACCCTTTGCATAAGATACCCATATGTGTTTCTATGAACAATAAGAAAAGTAACAAGTTATCAAATGTGTACTCTTTCATTGTTGTAATAAATTCATGTTATTTTTCAGATACGCAGGATTCTGAAGTTCAGTCCTATGTTCCTCTTCCTATCCCTTCTAGTACATCAGTTAGTGTTAAATGTGATTATACACTTTCCTCAAATGTGACAAATATCACTGAGTTACACAAGTATAATTCAAATGCACACGATCAAGAATTCATTAATGTTACAAGAATCACTTGGGAGTTAGTAATAAATTCATTTGATCAGCCGAAGCCGAAGAGATTCACTGATCCTGATGTAAGCAAAACAAAAATTGATTGTCAAATAGCAGGTCAACAACAACGTCGTGACAAAAGACAGGTTGATTATGATGTTTATTGTAAGTTTATGAATTTTATGTGTTGAGGAAACCTTTTTATCGATTAGAAAATAAATAATGCATTATTATGTACTTCTTATTTACACTAACATAAAACCAATCATTTCTTATCCAAGGTTAATATGATTACTTGCTTTTTTGATGTCACTTATTTTCAAAGCTTTATTTAAACACAAAATGCTAATAACTTGTAAGCACTTTACCATGTAATGATGACACTTGTAAGTCAACAACTGAAAGTCAGCCTATCACTTATTTGTTACTAATAAATACGTAAATATCGCCAACATCCAAGATGTGATTCTACATCTTTGAGTTTGATATTCTATCCTTCTTCTGTTTAAAGCATTGATTGTATTCTTTGTGTAACATTACAGACGCCATAACCCGAAACGGTTACTATTCTTGCTTTATGAGAGTTTATCAACAAAACTGGCTATTTAAAATTGTACTCATTGTCAAGTTTCGTTTTTCATCAACAGTGAACCCAAGAAGTTAAATAAAAAGCGATTGATGATTTAAGGATACTTCGAATTAAAAAGAGAACGTTCAAGCCTTGTAGTGACAGCCTAACCTCCAGATCATTTCGTTGGGATCAAAAAGTTAATACTTCTAACTCATTAAATACTAAATTTCTAATGTAATTTACACGATTCTAGTGAAAACCTGTGAACAATAAAGTTCAAACATTTTACCTGTAAAGCAAATATACACCAATAATTCTACATACACCCTAGCTCCTGACTGAAGTCAATAATTCTAACGATTGAACTAAAACCCGATGGTTTGAAACGTAAGCCTTCTCCAAAATGTCTAGTGGTCCTAGGTTCGATTCCCAGTGGCGCCTTCCATTCGCACAGACAAAAACTTCTGCACAGTACTTATATGATCTCAATGGTCGCCTTACTACAGTTATTCTCTGAAGTGAAGCTCAAAGTAAAACTATTGAAAACCGTTCATATTTATCTAAATACTCAAAGTGATTAAAAAAATTACTTCTAATACTTCAACAAATACTACAAAGTTGTGTTTCGTACTATTTTTATAATGGTTCATCTGATCTACCAATTTAAATTCTTTTAGAAATAACTAAACGGAAATATCAACTGATTATTTGAATCTTAATCAAGAAATAAGAAACAGTGATCAGTGATAACCATCCAGTTTAATAACATAAACATATTTTCATCACCAGCAAAAATTAAATTACGAGCTACCTGGACCTTCATAATCACCTATTGTCCAAAGGTTTTGCTACATATTTACTGAGTTTTTCGAGAACATATAGCTTATATCTAGTTTTAAAGTAGTGTCTACTAAATCATTTAATTTTGAAACATTGAATAGAATGACACTTTAAATTAATCACTCTGAGTGAAGTGATACACATTTCTGTGAAGCTTCCTCCAATATTTTATGTTGTATCAGATTGAATTACGAATACGTCAGAATATTGATTTTCATTGTTTCATTTGAGAAAATCATACTTATAAGAAAAACACTTTACTACTATACAAATGGAAATTAATCAGTTAATTCACTCACACAGATATCACGGGTTATTGACTGGCATTTTATACAGTTGTACGTGCAGTACACATTTATTGAAATGGCTTTAGCTGTTGTTGACAGATGATGACTGAACTATTATCAACATAAATATTCCTCAGGTTGAGTTTGGTAAGGTACGAAATTTTCTCTATACACAACTACATAAATATTATATCCACGATCATTAATTATTGGTTAGTGAGAACATGAGATTTTAGTGGATCCCTTTATTTTGTCGTCATACAGATCGGACGATGTTTGTTGACGGGCTCTCCACTTTGATGGCCCGAGTTCTGACTCCAATTAAATCGTACGGATGATTGCTATTGAAATATATATATATCGCCTATCCTCGTATATAATCACCAACTTAAATCGCGTTAGTCAATAACGAAATTTAATAAGTCAAATAACGAGAATTGACTTTTGAATACATATATTTTGTATATGAAGCGAAATGACGCGCAGCGGAAATGGCGAGTAAGCCAACCCCCCATTTAACCAAGTGTTAATCAATATTTAGTTACACAAAATTAAGTTACAGACACATGATGAGTAATGGGATAAGAAATGTACACACACATATGTGCTCATATAAAAGCAGTCAAGCTTGACAAGCGAATAATTAACAAGGCCATAATATGACTCAATTAGAATGAATGGATTGACCTGTCCGAAAGCCGGAATAAGGTATATGGGCTTAACATAATAACCGACACTACAAGATGTATTAATAAATCCTGTATAAATATATTGAATATCTTGGATGATATTGTCAGAGTTAAGATAACACTGCGAAATTCAAAAATGGTAGTTATGTCCTTTTGACATTCTATGAATGCACGACGAAAACATCTTTATCGAAATTAAACCCAGTATTCATAGTTTTTGAATTTTAGTTGAATGTATCTAACAATCGTGTAATATCAAAATACGTAACCATTCTCCTTATTCCCGTTCACATCGTATTCACTATTGGTCTTAGCATATATTTTATAAAATATTTCTTTTTTTTAATTTATAGATCCATCTAAATCTGTACGTTTGGAGACAAACTTATCTCCAGATTATTTTGTTCAAGTTGGTACTATACTTGAAATTAAATGTACTGCTGAACCTGGTAATCCTCCTCCAAAATTATCACTTTTACGTCAACGATTTGATGAATCTAAAGCAACAGTTATCCAAACTAAAACAAGACATCTCAGTCAGTCAAATTCTTTTATAAATATACATAAAGATATAGCTCAAGAGTTTATGGTCACATTAAGTGAAGAAGATAATGGTGCTTCTTTTTTCTGTGAAGTTATTAGTACTGGAATCAAATCAAGCAAAGTTCGTTCTGATAGTGTACGATATAATATATCATGTAAGTAATTCATTAACTACATGTTTTAGCTCGAAATTTTTATTAACCAATTTAGATTAAATAGAATTTTAATGCAACAGTTTGGAAATATGTCAATGTTTTTATTGAGTCAAGATCTGGAACCAACATCTATTATTGAATACAAGAAACCCATAGAACAAACATTAATTTGACAAGGATTATATTCACAAAAAAATATTGATAGATTCTATAATTTACTACTATTTTTCTTTGAAGCGTTTAAAATCAAAAGTGAACGGTTCTTTGAAGAATGTTGTATACATTTGGTTAACCATGTAGAAATACATAATAGCTTGTTAGTTTTATCAAGTAAACTATTTTAAAGGTCACTATGGAAATCTTTTTACTGATATACATTTATATATATATATATATATATATATATATATATATATATATATATATATATATAATTGATATGATAGGAAAATACAACTTAACTTACGCCTATTACTCCTGATGGAGCATAGGCCGCCGACCAGCATTCTCCAACCCACTCTGTCCTGGGCCTTCTTTTCTAGTTCCGTCTAATTCTTGTTCATTTTTCTCGTGTCTATTTTCATTTCCCTGTGTAATGTGTTCTTTGGTCTTCATCTTTTCCTTTGACCTTCAGGATTCCATGTGAGGGCTTGTCTTGTGACGCACTTGGGTGCTTTCCTCAATGTGTGTCCTATCCACTTCCAGCGCTTCTTACTAAGTTCTTCCTCTGCTGGGATCTGGTTTGTTCTCTCCCAAAGTACGTTGTTGCTAATAGTGTCCGGCCAACGGATCCGAAGTATTTTGCGTAGACAACTGTTAATAAACACCTGTATTTTCTGGATGATGGCTTTCGTAGTTCTCCAGGTTTCCGCCCCATACAGTAGAACTGTCTTGACATTTGTAGTGAAAATCCTGACCTTGGTGTTGGTTGACAGACAGTTGTTTTGAGTTCCAGATGTTCTTCAGTTGTAAATATGCTGCTCTTGCTTTGCATGAGCATTCAATGTACCTAAATAAATGGTTGCTCTGGTTGTCAGAAGGAGCATCGGCCTCGTGAATTCTAAGGGAACTCGGCTTTCATCATAAGGCTTTGTAACTCTTCTAAATGAAGACCTTCTGACTCCCAGGGCAGAGTTTAAAAGGTTTGAATAATTTTTTCTGGTCAGCGTTTTTTAGCTAGTTAGTTTTCTACGGGATGGGGTCGCCAACCCCATGCCCACCCTTCTCCTTAATCCGGGCTTGGAACCGGAAGTAGTCCCCGGAGGGACTCCAGTTATAGAAAAATACAGTTATTTATATAATATTCAAGCATAAAAATAATATAACGGTAGAATACTTACATTTGTATTTTACATTCACAAATGTACAGATTTTTATTGTTAGATTGATGTTATCAAAGTTACGAAAATAAGTAATAAGTTATATGTTGTTGCTAATACAAAATTGAGTTCTGATTATTAGTCAAATTGAAAAAACCACAGTAAATTAACTTACAATCAGTTTTAAAAATTGTTCCATAGATGAATATCTGGAAAAACAAGTAAAATGTTGATACCTTAGAAATAGTAACTAAATTACACTTTTTAACTGTAAACTTAAATACATTTTATGTGTAATTTAAAAGCAATAATTAATGATTTATAACTGATCTATCTGAAACTGTATGTATATATTATCAGTTTTATAAATGTGATGAGAGTGAGACTGCAAATGAATAGTCTCTTGCTGGTATATGTGCATCTTGTGTGGATTGCCTCGATCTTGCTTTTCCCCTTGTGTATGTTGAGGTCTATTGATGTAGAGACTGCTGCTGCACTATTTGTCTTGAACTACATTTACTACTATGTATGGGACAGAAGGGCTAGGTTATCTGTGAAGTCCAAATCATCTAGTTGCATTCAAATTGTTTATTATATTCTGTGGTTCCCCTCAGATGTCAAAGTCTTCATAATTCAGTTAACTGCCAGAGAGAGGCCAAGCAGTCTTGTCTAACTTCGGTCCTAGATACAATTTCACATTCGTCAACTACTAGGAAAGTATGATAAAAAAAAATCCAATACATGAATTCGATAAATAACGAACAATTTAAAAGTTATACTTTGAAGTATGTAAGTAAAGATTACTTTCCAAAATATACGACAGTATAATCGACCTTTAGTTTTAATCTAACATAATCTAGATCTTATAACTAAAATCTAGGAAACTATTTAAATAAAGAACATCATTTTGTATTGTTTAAAGCAAAAGTGTTTCAATGATCAGAAATTAAAGGAAAGAAGTGAATTAAAAGTAAAGTTATATATCAGTTAAAAAATACTAATGGATATCATTTTTCTTTTTTAGTCTGACATTGGAATAAACAGATTATTTTAACATTAAAATCATGTTGATATTTTAGTGATGACAAAAGAAAATGTAACTTAAAATCCCTTATATTGTACCTAATTGTCTATAGTGTAATGCCAGAATACAAATTTAATTTATCGACATAAGTAAATGGGTTGTGTGATTAAAAAAAAAACGAAAATCTAGTTTACGACAAAACTATAGACAATTTTGTAGCTAATTAATTATAAATTGTTTAAATCATATAGCTTACTGATAGTTTATTAAACAAACAATTGAAATTTAATATTTTCGGTTAAAATCAACTTTATTCAACTTACATCCATCTGAAGAGTTCGAAAAAGGACGAAACGCGCGTTCTAAATTCCACTGACAGTCACCATCTATCTTTGTTTATAATGCTTGTGGTTTGAGGCAATATCGAGGTAATCCACACAGGATGCATATATGCCAATAAGAGACAGATCAATTGTAGTTCTAAACATCAATGCAAAGATTCAAACAAATCATACAAAATGAATTCAACCTACTATTTGTTTTTTTAAATATCCAAAGTAATTAATTTGAAGTAGGTTAACTTCAAAGAAAACATTATTCCATGGATCTAAACAACACCACATTGAATAAAATGAAGATTTCTAGATCAAATGTAAATATATCCCAGGAATCACTACTTATTTCAAGTAATGTTCATTTTCAGTTAGATTTTCCATTACTTCTTTTGAAAAAGTTTAGACCAGATTGCTAACCAAAACGTTGAATTTACTTCAAATTCATTCACTTAGATTTTACAAATGCATTCTTCCGTAATGATGTCTCATGTTAACTCGATGCTCAAATACCATGAAGCTATTCGATTAAGTTAAGATGAAAGTTCTTATATATTAAATATATATATAAATATTTATAATCAGAAGGGGTTTTGTAAAGATTTTAGTAATTTCAATAGTTGAAATCATGAGTCAATTGAAGCTAGACCACCATGGAAAACCTGGAAGCACTAGACGGCCTTTTCATCCTAGTATGCGACTCCTCAGCAGTGCACATACACGATCCCGTCCCCGAGAAATTCGAACCCAGGACCTATCAGTCTCACGCGTGAACGCTCAACCATAAGACCACTAAGCCGGCATCCCATGATGTTAATGTCTAACTCCAACCAATCCACGAAATCGCGCGCGAGGCTGACAGGTTCTGGGTTCGAATCTCGCGGAAGGCGGGATCGTGGATGCGCACTGCTGAGGATTCCTGTACTAGGACAAAACGGCCATCCAGTGCTTCTAGGTTTTCCATGATGGTCTAGTTTCAATTGACTCATGATTTCAACTTTTGGAAAATTTATAAAACTAAGATTTTGATATTATATTTTATTAATCGATTAAAAAGAATTAGCTGGATCTTTTTGTTTGTGTTTATTTTTCTTTATTTCCTAACTAAAATCAAATAACTCTTTGTTACCAAGTTGCATAACATTTCCTTTTTTTAAGTGATGCACTTTAATCAAAACATAAAGTATAAAAAGACGAAAAAAAGTATGTTTCCAATCCAATGGTCCTTTCATATGAAAATAAAGTTTATTTGTCACAAATGATATGTACTGTATCATTTCATTTTTTTGTTATATAAAATCTTAAATACCATTCTATCTACGTCATCAAATAACAAAACAAAATAAGTAAGTGATATTGTAAGCAATAAAGATTACACTTCCTCTCACTTTTCATGATTGAAAGAGAGATACATCCAAACTAGTTTAAAGTAAGGTATAGGCGCACTATTGAGGAGTCCCACAATGGGGCGAAACGGCCGTCCAGTGCTTCCAGGTTTTTCCATAATGGTCTGGCTCCAACTAACTCATGATCTTAACCATTGAAATTAATATATATATTACTTAACATTGCGTCAAGGATTGATTCATATACACTTATCAAATACATACTAATAAATATTGTATTATTCATTTAAATTATCTCTAATTTACAAACAGTATTTCATTGTTATTAATCCTTAATTAAAATAGTTCTAGCATCTATAGTAGGTCGGTATATTTGAATCTTATTTATTCTTCTTATAAACTAATAGTAAATGACCAACTCATGAACTAGAAACTAGGATATGAACATTATATTCATAGGCGTTGTTTTTATTAAATTGTTTTATGAATGGTGTTTTTAAATATTATTGTTATATAATATTGTTATTATTATATTAGTATAAACTGATCTATGTTAAATCCAATTGGTATTGTTTGGCTTGTATCTTCACATTGAGGTTTAAGACTGCAATTGATCAGTCTTTTGCTTACAAAAAGCTTGTGAATTAAGGCAATATCGAAGCATACGCACAGTATGCACGTATGCCAATAACAGACTGATCAATCGCAGTCTTAAACCTCAATGTGAAGATACAAGCCAAACAATACCAAGTGGATTTAAATTCACTCCATTGCACAAGCAAGTGGCTATCAGGACTCAGTAGCTGAGTGGATAACGTGATGGCGTTTGAAGCGAGTGGTACTGGGCTTGAGTCCCAGAGTGAACACCAACTCTGAGATGCAGGTACATCCAGCTGACGAGTCCCATATAGAACGAAGCGCGCGTCCTGTATTCCACTGCTAGCCACTATCCATTATTGCTTACAAAATGATCTATATT